CTCTCTCTCTCTCTCTCTCAGGTTTACGCTGAGAGCCATGATTTACTGGCTGCTGCATTAGATCCAGTGATAACAAAATCAACTTGTTTCTTTTAATTTTCATATTATCACACTGAGAAGAAATTTATCAGAGATAAGGCTATAATTTTTACCTTAAATGAAATGCCTGTGGCTTAAAGTTCTTGTTTCGGGTAACAGATGTTCTCAGTCAGGCTGTTAGGAAAAGATAGAAAACAGAGGAATGGGATAAAGACAGAATTGAGATGTGTTATGTACCTGTACGAGCTCCCTGTAAGGAATATAGTCATTGAGTGCTGTGAACAGGTACTAGTAAAAACAAAGAAAAAAAGAGAGGAAAGGCATCCCAAATTAGAGCCCAGCCTGGGCAGTTGAGTGGTTTAGCAAGACCCTGTCTCAAAATAAAGGGGCTAGGGATGTACTACAGCTCAATACAAAGGCTATGGCTTCAATCCTCAGCACTGCAGAGAAAGAAAGCAGGACAGAGAAAAGAAAGGCAAAGCCAGCTTCCTTGGAAAGCTGTAGTTACTGATCTTGATTAGAAAGTCACTCTGTGCCTTGACGTCTGTCCCTGATATAAGACCTTTGGAGTTGCTAGTTGATTAGGAAGCACCCAGCACCAGCTCTGCTGCATTCTTATAGACGGGCCTGCAGGGCAGGCAGGGAGCCTCCACTCTGAGCTCTGAAAGGGAAAATGAAAATCTGAAAAGTCCTATTTTTGCAAGTCTGCTGTATTGCTTAAAAAGACCATGTTCGTGCCTGTGTGGAGCTGTCCGCATGTGGCACTGCTGAGTGACTTGATGGTCATAGGTGTTGGTAAGGGTCAGTGTCGTAGCTGTGGTACGGCTCAGAGACCAGAACTCGAGCCCTCCCCCTTTCTTGTTGGAGAGGAAGCAGGAGGCATGAAATGGAGAACTACCTCACCTGTGTGTTTGTGTAAGCACATTCCACAGCTGTACACTACAAAATGTTGGTTTGGCCTCCTGCGTTAGTTGTGTGTGCTGGGTATGAATCCACAGATGTGCTCTTCAGAGTACGTGCAGATGGATGGGAGCCTGTGCATGCCTGGTACTGGGGATCGAACCCAAAGCTTTTGTACTGAGCTATAGACCAGGCCTTTTTATTTTTTGTTTTGAGACAGGATCTCAGTAAGTCTGTAAGTTGCCCAGGCTGTGGTTTGAACTTGTGATCCTCCTGCCTCAGCTTCCCAGAGTGTTGGGATTATAGGTGTAAGCAGTCATCCCTGGCATACTTGTTATTTCTAATGTAATGCAGACCCATGTTTGAAGAGATTATTTAAAAGAAGATTTATAGACTGTTGGACTGTATGCACATAGTTACACATAAATATCAGTGTTAAAAGCACTCTGCCAGTGTTTATAGCAGAGTTCATAATCACTAAATCTTAGAGTCAGCCTGTATGTCCATCAGCAGATAAAGAAAATGTGGTATTTACACAGAGTGGGGCACTACTGTGCCATAAATAAAGATAAACTTGACTCATTTGTAGGAAAATGGACCAATACCATAACATTAAGTGGAATAAATCAGACACACAAGCTTAAATCTGACATGGTTTCTCTTATATGTAAAATCCCGAATAAAAATAAAGAACAAAATAAAAAATAGATAATAGGAAGTAGGGACATAAATCATTCTCAGAGGGGAAGGGGACCAAGAGGTGGAGGGAATGGGGAGGAGGAGGTGGGACGGGATGAACAGAAACAATCGGGATGTGTTACACGCCTCCCCACAAGGAGTGGAACCCTGTGCTAGAAACATGTACCAAAGGAAGGGAGGGGATCAGAAGGTGGGGGAGGTGGAGGGGGAGAAAGGAATCGGGATGTGTTATGTACGTGTGCCCGCTTCCCACAAGGAGTAGAAACATGCACTACACACATGTACTAGTACTAAAGTAAAATTAAAAAAAAAAATTTTTAAAGAAGGCTGTTGACCTGTTGCTAGTCACAGGTGCAAGTCTCTCGGTCCTTCTTTTCAATCCTGGCCTTCCTTCCAGCCATCATACCTCAGTGAAAGGAGTCACTGGTGAGGAGGTAATATGCTATTTTTGACAACCCTTAGGCTGTAACTACTTATTAGATCCTTCTTACATATCTCTGTCTTCCTGAGAAACCACTTTGAAGATACCACCACGTATTACAGCAGCCATTGATATTTTCCTACTAATCTATCCATAACTGTGTTAAGTTTGTAATGTTCCTATCCTATTTCATAATGTATATTTATTATTATGTGTTTCCTACAACAACCATTGAGAATAGTTAATGATTTTTCAATAGGTCACTCATGTATAGCTCTATTTATTTTCTTTAGAAGCCACTTTAAAGATACCAAAGTATAGCACAACAACTCTTGATAATCTCCTACCTCTTTTGTCTCTAACTCGCTCTTATTTGTCTATTTGTTTTCCTGAGAAACTATTTTGTAGATAATAATACGTAAAACGATAACCATTGATAATTTCCTACCATTTTGTCTGTAATTTGCTAAGTCCCCCCTATTATTATGTTATCCTTCTTTTATTCTTTAAAATTAAAAAAAAACAATAAAAAAAAAAAAAGAAGGCTGTTGAGCTGAGGGTGTAGCTCAGTATCAAAATGCTTGCTTTACCATACATGAGGATGAGTCCCATCCCCAGTATCACAAAAAATTATTTTTTGAAAAAGCCTGTCAGAGCCAGACATGGTAGCGCACGCCTGTAATCCCAGCACTTAGGAGGCTGAGGCAGGAGGATCACTGCCAGGTCAAGGGTAGCCTGAGCTACAGAGTGAGTTCAAGGCCAGCCTGAACTGCAAAAAAGACCAAAAAGAAAAAAAAAAAAAAAAAAAAAAAAAAACCTATCAGATTTATTAATTCTATGAAATGCTCTGAGGATATAGAATGTTAGCAGTTAGATGTCTTAATAGTGACAACTCACCTCGCCGTATGGTAGCCTTTGTGCTGTGTGGATGGCTTTCTGAGTGAGAGCACCTGTGTAATTCCTGAAGCAGCCAATACCCAAGAAATTTCTGTGTAATTAAATGACTTCAAGCCTAATTCTTAATTTCTTGATCTACAGACTTACAGCAGAGATGCATTTATTGTAATTGTAAAAACTCCAATTAGGGTATTTTCCTATATTATATAGTTTTTTTTTTTAACTAGAAAAATACGGAGTTGATTTTAGGCTAGGAGCAAGAAAGCACTGCATCTTAGATGATTATAGAATTGTGCCCATAAAGATAGGCCTGGAAACTTAGATGTACAGCTGCCACTAGTTCCTGCTTTTGGGGGCCTGAGGAAGAGTCTTGCTTGTTATTTTTACTTCATGTTCATCTGGGTCATTTTAACTTACAGCCATTATGCCTTAGAAGAGGGGACTGCCCAACAAAAAGCTTTTAGAGTCCAGGAGGAGAGAAGGTAGCTGCTGAGAACCTGCGCACCCGTGGTTGGCCCTCCTGTAGCAGTAGCCAGCCAGACACACACTGTGCACAGTGCAGTGTACCATCAAAAGCATCAGAGACCTGATGTTTGAATGCCCTCGATACTGGTAGCTGGCCCTGTCACCTTTCACAGTCATACTAGTCTGTTCATACGGGGTTTCTCTTGGGTGGCCCCGTTCCCAGCACCGCAGGCTTGCCTCCCATGAGTGTTTGTAAACGCAGGAGGATACCTTGCACCAGCTCCCCTGCAGCTTGACATCAGAACATGGAAGTGAGGAAGTCAGTAGATTGGGGGCACTTGGGTTCCCAAGGCGGCTTCTGGGTGTCTGTCTGTCCTAGCACCTCCTGTCTTTCTGTCTGAACTTGAGTCCCGTGTAACATTTCAGAAATATCTTGCATTGTGGCTATGTGTATGTAAGATAGGCCTAAAAGTTAGGTTTATAGCTCTAATAGACTGGTACCTTTGCTGTTATAGTTTGCATATTAAATGAATATAAATTACCATGTAAGATATGTCTGTCTTTGCTATAAATGTTTTTGCTTTAAAAAAAAAAAAAGCAAGAAAATGAGGGCTGGGGATTTAACTCAGTGCCTGCCTGGCAAGCATGAGGTCCCGAGTTCAATTCCTGCCCGCCCCCCTCCATGAAACATTGAAGATGATTGAAAAGAACATTGTCATCACGCCCGCCACCCCAGTTAGTAATGGTTCACCTCGGAATAGCCAGGCAGCAGTGACCTTGAGCTCTTTGAGAGGTGCCCCCCTCATTCCTCCTGGTGCCCCCACAGTTTTCCATGAAGGCAGGCACGTTTTCTTCTGGGCAGTGTGAACTAGCGTTGGGAGCACTAGAACCTGTAATTTGCTTGAAATAACAGATCTTAATTTTACAACTAGTTGTGTGCGGGCTAAATTATATTACCAGTGTTGTGGGTTTGGGGACTTTGGGTCTGTCTTGGTGCTTGGGATCCAACCCAGGGCCTAGCTCATGCCAACCAAGTGCTCTACCAATAACCTACACCCAGGTCCCTTCCCGGTTGGCTTTTGAAAGCTGAGGGCTGAGCAGTGACCCAGAGAGGCTCTGAGAGGACTGCTGCTGACCTTCTTCCTGGTAGAGGCTCCTCTCAGCCCCAGGATTGCCCTGTGGCCCTTCACAGAAGTAGCCCTGCCTCCAACTTCTGGGCCTTCCGGGCTTCTTTCCTCCCCGGTGCTTCATTCCCACTGTGGCAAAGCAGGAGCCTTACCGAATGGCTGCAGGAAGGGGCCTGTCTCCCGTGTCATCTCGCCTGCATTTCACATTCGTCTCCTGGGTGCTTCTCTGATGAGTCAGCTGGGGGCCAGACTGTTCTGGCTTGGGAGGCCCATTTTCAGGTGTCTTCCTTGATGAGTCACGCTCTGGAGAGTGGCGTACGGTAAAGCCGGTGGAAGGTCTGTCTCTTGAGTAGTGAGGCTGGACAGTAAAGAGCTGGCATCAAGTGTTCCGTTACTCACATTAAGGCTGGACATCCCATTTCTTGATGGGGAAGCAGATGTTGACTGGCTTGCCTTTCTTCCTTAGGTGGTTTTTTGGCAAAATCCCCAGAGCCAAGGCAGAAGAGATGCTTAGCAAACAGCGGCACGATGGGGCCTTTCTAATCCGGGAGAGTGAGAGTGCTCCTGGGGATTTCTCCCTCTCGGTCAAGTAAGTATTTCCTGTTCTGCTTGTGTGGAAAGAAGCCTGTCTCCCCGCTACCTCAGCCGGGAGGCCATTGGTCAGGTTTCTGACTATGCACAAGCTCTAGAACAGACTTAGTCTAATCTGTATTTTAATTTTACATTAAAATCCTAATTTCTGAGCTGGGCCTGGTGGTGCAAGCCTATAATTCCAGCAGTCCGAGAAGAGGTGGCTGGAGAAGGAAAGGTTCAAGCGCAGTTGGGGAAATGTAGTACGACCCTGTCTCAGAAAGGGCTGGCACCGGGGGAGGTAGCATATGCCTATAGTCCCAGCACTCTGGAGGCTGAAACAGGAGGCCTGCAGTGAGTTCGAACCCAGCCTGGGCTCTACATAGTGAGTGTAAGGCCAGCCTGAACTACATCGTAAGACCCTTTCTCAAAATAAATAAAATAAAATAGGCTGGGGATATAGCTGTGCAACAGACCATCCCTATGATCAATCCTCAGACCACTACAAAAAAAAAAAAAAAATCCTAAATTTCTGGCTCCGAAATTAGTTCTGGCAGCACAAGTTTAGATTCGTCAGTGGAAGAAGTCTTCAGGGGCAGCAGACCTCTGACTCAGCACGTGCAACCAGTTTTCCCTCAGTGGGAGTCCTGCTGCGCTCTCACTGTCAGGTGCCTATTCTGCCTTTAGCTGACAGCCTGCCTGACTCCAGCACACCTGTGCTAGGTCACTCACATGCAGTTGGAAAGGTTACTACCACAAGAGACTTGGGGTTTTGCTTTTCTGTGGTAAAAGTAACTGTAGTAGGGAACCTAAACATAACTGTGGAAGGGAACCTAGTGAGTTCAAGACCAGCCTGAACTACACAGAGAAACCCTGTTTCAAAAAAACAAAACCAAGAAAGGATTGAATATTCATTTGTGTTTAGGACCATTGTATGCTTAGTGTATGGAGTTCTTTAAAGTGTAGATTAAAACTTAAAGTCGTGGGATGTTTCATTTTGTTTTGTTTTTGTGATACTGAGGATTGGACTCACAGCCTTCCCACTGAGCTACATCTCTAGCCCCTTTTTTTATTTTGGGACAGGGTCTTGCTAAGCTATCTGGCTCGAAATTTCAGTTCTCCTGCCTTGGGCTTTTGAATGCTGGGATTAGAGGCATGCTCTTTTTCTATAAAGATTTGGTAAGTGTCAGGTGATATTTGTGCTACCTCAGAAGTAAATGCATTTGCACTAATAATCAGTTTTCCTCTTGTAACAAAGCCTTTTGAAGTGCAGGTGCTCTACCACTGAGCTCCGTGCTGCATCCCAGCTCCTTTTTTATTTTATTTGATACAAGTTCTTGCTAAATTGTGCAGGCTGGCCTGAAATTTGAGATCATCCTGCTCCAGCCTCCCAAGTAGCTGGGCTTACAGGAATACATTACCAGGGCTTGCTATAATTATCATTTTAATTTTTCTCATTAATTTATAGAAAGCTAATGTGTTATACTGACCTGAATAGAAACTAAGCACTGTAACAAGAGCAAGTTAATCTGTAGGCACTGAGGTGCTCAGTGCTGAGCTGGAAATGTGCCTGTCTGTTCCGAACAGTGACCTGCTATAGACACCAGCAAGACCAAGGAGCTGAGGCCATTTCTATTCAGAAATAAAATCTGAAACAGATGTCATCGCTACCTTTTAACAACACAAGCATCTTCACAAAAGACGTTTGAGAAATATCAAGACTCTGGAGATACATTTCTGTAGTTTCAAGATGTTCAGAGTCTGATTTAAAACATTACGGTTGCCGGGCATGGTGGCACACACCTGCAGCCCCAGCACTCGGGCGGTTTTCTGAGTCCAGCTGCATCAGCCCAGTGCAAGTGGCTTCTGGGGCCAGAAGTGCCGCTTGAGCACACCCTCCTTACGGAGCTTTCTCCTCGTCCCTGCTTTTCTCTTGCAGGAGAAACAGTGCAGTGGCCTCCCCGCCGCCGCTGCAGTCCCACTGTCCTCAGTTTCAGTTACCTGAGGTCAACGAGTCCAAAAATATTAAATGGGAAATTCAGAAATAAACAACTCATAAGTTTTAAATAACTTCTATTACAGTGCCAGGGATATAGCTCAGCGGCACAAGCACCTGCCTGGCAAGTGCAAGGTCCTGAGTTCTATTCCCAATACCAAAAAAACCCTTTTATTATAGTATGCTGTTATAATTGATTTTGTTATTGCCTTACTGGAAATTGAACTTTATCCTAGTCATGTATGTGTATATGTATGGGGAAATCATCGTACATAGTATTTGTGGGGTGTGATATTTGTGGTTTCAGGCATTCCGGGGTCTTGGGACAGTCCCCCTAGAAAAGAGGAAATACTTGGTCTCTTGGACTCACTGGCTTAAAGCTTAGTGCTGCCACCTGCTGGATTGTTTTCAGGAAGCGTTTGGTTTCTTCAAGCTTTTGAGTGTGGAAGAGAGAAGACTGCGTTCACTGAACAAGTGTTCACAGCAGGCCTTTTTTTTTTTTGGTTTTTCTCTGGTACCAGGAACCGAACTCACGACCTTGCACTTGCCAGGCAGGCGCTTTTGCCGCTAAGCTAAATCCCCAGCCCCCACAGCAGGCCTTTTGAAGGCAGGATGGGAAAGCCCTCGCTGAGCTTCTGGTCTAGCCAGATGTCCCTGCGACAGATCCCATGGGCCAGTAGCAGTCGCTCTTGCTATTTTTGCTGACCAGTATAAAAGGGAGTGTGCTGTCCTGTGACACAGAATTTTTTCTTTGGTACCTGAACCTCTTTTATTGTCCCAGCAGTGTCCTTCGGTCTTGAGACCTTTTTACCCATGAAAAGGGAAAGCTAAACTAAAACTCCTGAATGAAAAACACAGCTTGGAACTACTCCCAGTTAGCTGTTTGAAGCATTTCCAGTCTCCCCTCACCTTCTGTCTCATCTTTCCTAGTTCTTGAGTGTGACATCACATTTTTGTATTTTTGCTTCAGAAGAAGTTAGTAATGCCACAGCCCTTGTGAGGCAGGCAGGTTAGGAGACACTGTTTATACCTTTAAAGGCGTCTTCAGAATTCGACGCCTGGGTGGGACTTCGTCTGTAAGACTTCTTCATGCTGTTACTAGAAACGGTCACTCGTGAAGGGTGCCAGGGATGCCCGTGGTTGTCCCAGCTCTCTTCAGTCAGAAGCAACTTGCTGTGAAGTTCCTTCACCCTCAGGCTGTGAGGAATTTGTGGAAAAGCGATTCTGTCCACATCTCCTGCATAAGCAGACGGCCCCTGCCTAGCCCGAGACCTGCGACCGTTCACGTGTTTCCTGCCTCACCAGGTTCGGAAATGATGTGCAGCACTTCAAGGTGCTCCGCGATGGAGCCGGAAAGTACTTCCTCTGGGTGGTGAAGTTCAATTCCTTGAATGAGCTGGTAGATTACCACAGATCGACATCCGTGTCCAGAAACCAGCAGATATTCCTGCGGGACATAGAACAGGTGCCACAGGTGAGCCGAACCTCAACTTAGGGTCCTTTCTAGGAAGGAACACTAGCTCCTTAAGCAAGCTGCTGCCCCTTAGAGGGTCACTTCTGCCACTGCTTCGTGCATTATTCAGTGTTACCCTTTATTCACGTAAAGCTCTGTAGTCTGAAACGTTCGTGTCTTTTCCAGAGGTGCCCTCCAGGGCCGTGCTGCTCCCGGACCCATCTGCCCTGAGCACTTTCTCTCTCATGCGCACTGTGAGGGAACTCGCCCTTGGGAGGAGTAGGAGCTCTATTCATTCACTCCTACCCGTCACATCCCAACTGTGCATTACGGCTGCTGCCATCTTACTTTATTCAAACTCCAGAGCTTTGGACCCTGTAAAATCTTGAGGGTGTTGTAAATGATAGACACGTGAACGTTTCCTTGTTGTTTTTTTGGTACTGGGAATTGAAGTCAGATCTTGTGCTTGCCAGGCAGGCACTTATGCCACTGAGCTATATCCCTGGCCCATGTGAACGTTTTCAGATCTGTGAACATAACCCCAATTGTGTCCTCAAGACATACGTGCTGCTCCCTCCTTGATAATGTGGCACATGGCCACCCCCAGATACACCCTAGTGTTTTGAGCGTTGGTAGGAAATTACATTAAACCCACATAGAGTGATCTTAGGACATGTAAGACCAAAGGGAGAGGTACTTCAGGGCGTGTGAGAATTGACGCGTGCATGCCCCTTTGTAAGCAGTGCTTCCAAAGTGCTGGCAGGATCCGCATCAGGAACACGTGTGTTTTCTCTGCTCCTCTCTTACAGCAGCCGACATATGTCCAGGCCCTCTTTGACTTTGACCCCCAGGAGGACGGTGAGCTGGGCTTCCGCCGGGGAGACTTCATCCACGTCATGGATAACTCAGACCCCAACTGGTGGAAGGGAGCTTGCCACGGGCAGACGGGCATGTTTCCCCGCAACTACGTCACCCCCGTGAACCGGAACGTCTAAGAAGCAGAGTATTTAAAGAAAGTGAAAAATTGAAAACACAAAGAGAATTACACCCACAAGCTGCCTCTAACAGCAGCCTGTAGGGAGCTCAGAACATCCGGCTGGTCACACTGGTGACCCTCTCACTTTCATTGGAACTTTGGGGGGTGGGAGGGGGCTTGGATATCAGAATTCCAAAATTTACCTATTGAATTAAGTTTTTATTACAGATTCTCCACACTGCTCCCGTTCCCCTCCTGTGTCCTCCTTCTCATCTTTTTCTCCTGTCCTTCAGTGCATGACATTTAAGGCCACATATAGTCCCAGCTGATGCCAATAATAAAAGAAAAGAAACCAAGCGGGCTGGTATTTTCTCTATGCAAAATGTCTGTTTTAGTGGAAATGACTGAAAGAACAGCTGTCTCCATGTTTCTCATGTATACACACAAAAGGAGCGGGCCGGGTGGCCTGGGCCTGAGCTGCGCGCCTCGGCCGGAGGAGAGCCCCGTCCAGCCGGACAGAGCGCGGGAGGACGCCGCGGCTTCCAGAGAAAGACTGCGAACCTGCGCCTCTGCCCACTTCGGTCCCTCTCCAGATGTTGTTTTTTCATAGTGCCTTTTTCCTTATTTCAAGGGTTGCTTATGAGCGGTGTTCTTTATTTTGTTTTAAAGTAAGTTAAAGACGGTCCAGAGCTATTCATCCAGTTTGTCTCCTACTCTATGTAAATATTTTTCCCTCACAGGAAGGGAAAGCAGGGGAGAGAAAGGAGACAAGCAGAAGTGGAGGGTATGGGCAGTTTGCCTGTCCTAACCCAGAAATCTTTGCGGGTTCAGCTTTAATATTTGTGAGCCCCGCCCCCAGGTGAAGGGATCTGTCTGTGAGGCTGTCAGAGTCTTTGACCTCCAGGGCTCGGGTGTAGCTTGCTTCTCCTGTCCCGAGACTCTGGGAGCTAGCAAGTTGCAAACAGAAGCCAGAGGAGAAAATAGCTTCTAACTGCCCTTAGCTGTCGCAGTCCGTATTCCCACATGGGTGAGAATTACAGTTCTTGCTTTTCATTTTTCTTGCTCTTAAAATGAGGTCCTGGCTTTCCCGAGTGCCCTAACCTGCAGGGTGAGCACTGGGACGGCAGCCAGGAAGAGCAGGTAGTGGTCCCTCCATTCACAGGGGGCCCTTAGCACCCCCGGTGGACGGTGTGGGAATGGTTGCTCCCCCCACTGTCCCACACAGCAGGGAGAGTCGGGAGGCACTGGGGAGGACAGGAAGGCCTAGGCTGCTGCGGAGCTCTCTGTCCATCTGTCAACTTTTGGTCCCTCGTAATGTGCCTGTAGTCCGTTTCTCCCCAGCCCACCTCCCGCCACAAAACAAGGCCACTTCCATTTCTCTTCCTGGAAGTTAGTGGTAGTCTTGGACCTTTGAGTTCTGATGGGTCGGCGGCGTGCTCCTGGACTCTGGTTATGGAGATGGACTCAGCCTGGAGCACCGCAAGGCCCGGGCTCTCCCTGCCTCACCTGGCTCCCTCTTAATCCTGCTGCTCCGCTCCTCACTGATGATAAAGGAATCTCTGGCGTTTTACACCTGGACCATTTGATTGTTTTATTTTGGAATTGGTGTATATCATGAAGCCTTGCTGAACTAAGTTTTGTGTGTATATATTTAAAAAAAAAAAAATCAGTGTTTAAATAAAAAGACCTATGTACTTAATCCTTTAACTGCGGATAGCATTTGGTAGGTAGTGATTAACTGTGAATAATAAACCTACAATGAATTCTTGTGAATAAATATTCAATGAATTCTTCACTCTGTATTTTTCTTCCTCCCTTTCCTTAAAACAAGTTTTAAACTGAAAGAGGTTAGGTTAGGGAGTCAGGACTCAGGTTCTTATTCCAGCTTGCCTGGCTTACGTCACCCTTGGGGAGCAAGTGGGTCTCTCGGGCCTCCAGAGGAGTAAGGTCCCTCCCCAGAACTCTGTCTTCACAACTCCTTGGGAGTATCGCACTGTGGACAGCATTGCAGACTCCGCCCTCAGGTCTCAGGAACCCCCAGGTGAAAACAACCACACTTGCCCAGACTGCCTTCGAACTCTTGGGCTCAGGCCATCCTGCCTTGGCCTCCCCAGTGCAGGGACTACAGGCAGACACCACCATACCTGTCCATGAGAAGCTTATAGACCACCCTTTGGAAACGTGTAGAGCAGGAGGACAGAGAGCTGGGCTTGTTCGGTTCTCTCCCTCTCTGCGGAAGGAAGGGAAGGGTTCTGTGATAAACCAATGTCAACATGGTAAGTAGCTAAGGTTGGTTTGGGGTGACCCAAGCAACGACGTACAGCACTGGCTGCAGTAAACCTAGTGAGATTTGTTTGCAGAGACAACAAAAGAAAAACCCATAGAGTTTCCACCTGGGTGTTTTGCTTTGTTTTGTTTTGAGACAGGGTCTGGTTATGGAGTCCAGGCTGGCACTGAACTCTGTGTAGCCCAGCTGGCCTTGAACTTGTAGCAATCTCCCTGCCTTGGCCTCCTGAGTACTGGCATTACATGTGCCAACACAACCAGCTTCACTTGAATTTTTTGATGAAATTTTGTTTCGATTTGTTGCAGTACTGAGGATTGGTTTGAACCGTGGGCCTTTGCACTGAGCTACATGTCCAGCCCTTTTTTATTGTGAGCAAAATTGGTCTTGTGTCTCCATGTATAGCCTTATTACTCCGGGTTGTGGATCTACACAGTCTTTGGGCGTAGTGATGCACACCTTTAATCACAGCTATTTGGGAAGCCCAGGTAGAAGGACCGTAAGTTCAAGGCCGGCCTGGGTAACTTAGCTAGACCCTTGTCTCAAAGTAAAAGAGTGGGAAATATAGCTGAGTTTGAGGCTGTAGGTCCAGTACCATAAAAAATAAAACAACTTCCAACCACCGGCCTCAGGTGTTCCCTGTGCTGCAGGCTGTTTGGGACCTGGCCCCTGGGTCAGTGCCTCTTACCATCCTGGGCTGTGCTAGGTACGCAGTGGGCCAGCCGTGGCCCCTTCTGATTTCCCTCCTTACAGGAGTGTTTGGCTCCGGGTAACAGTTCCATTCCTGTGGTGCATGACCTATGCTTCCAACTTGGGAGCTGGGGGACCCCCGGCTGGGAAGAGCCCTGCACTTCCTTCACAGGCCAGCAGCCCCCCACTCCACTCCTCCATGGCAGGCACCACTACACTGAAGTCATCTTGAAACTGGGAATTTACCCCACTCTGGACTTCTGTACTTGATAGAAAAGCATTCTCAATCCTAGTCTCATATTGCTGTGCAAGCGTCAGCCAAGTGACTTGCAGAGAAGTGTGGGCAGCACACAGGCCTGGGTCAGGAAGAGGGGTACTTGGAAGTAGATGCAAGGTCCTGTTAGATTGACGTAAAGGTTGGGTGAAACTGCAATGCTGAATCCAGAGCCTTGCACATTCTACACAAGCACTCGACTTTGGAACGACACCCCCAGCCCTAGACAGTAATAGGACCATAGGGCTGGGGCTGCAGCGCCGTGACAGAACATATGCTTAGCATGTTCAATCCCCGCACCCTCCCCGCCCAAAACAGAGCAGACAGGATGGGCGCAATACCTGGCGCCAGCTCAGGAGGCATCTGAGCAGTGTAAGGATGGAGCTGGCCATGAGGATCTGAACATAGCCAAACAGCTCCCATCAGTCTTTTTTTTTTTGTTTTTGGTTTTTTTCTGGTACCGGGAATCGAACTCACAACATTGCACTTGCCAGGCAGGCAATGTGCCACTGAGCTAAATCCCTAGCCCTTCCATCAGTCATGTAGACATGTGGCATAATGGAACCTGGGAAGCCAGGGAAAGGCCAAGGTTACACTGACGCAGGAAGTAGGGATCAGAGTGGAGCCTGTCCAGTCACGTAGCCCAGTTCTCCCCGCTGGCCGGTCAGCAACACCATGTGGCCCGCCTCGTGGTTCCGAGTGGCCTTGTGCTGAGGTGCTGGCACGCAAGGAGTGTGTCTGGCTAGCCACATGCCTCCATCTCTTCTGCTTTTGACTGCATGCTGGAGAGCCAGTAAAGGCCAACATCAGCAAGACTTGCCACAAGTGACCTGATGTCACAGACTTCGGGGCTTCTCTGTGACAGCAGCTACTCTGCCCTGAACGTTCAGGGCCCACACTGGAGAGGAATGGGTTGTGGGAAATGAGAAACCCCATTATAAATGTTAAATTTTAGCCAGGTACGGTGGCGCACACCTGTAATCCCAGCTACCAGAGACTGAAGCAGGAGGATCGCAAGTTCAAGGCCAGCCTGGGCAATTTAGCAAGACCTTGTCTCAACATAAAAAAGACTGGGGGCATACATAGCTTAGTGCTCTCTGGGTTCAGGCCCAGTCGTACACAGAGGACAAGGTTTTAGAGAAGGAAATGGACTTGCAGGGCACTGTAGTCTCTGCACTCTGGGAAGCTGAGACAGGAGGATTATAAATTCCAGCTCAGCCAGGGTAATTTAGCAATTTAGCGAGAACTTGTCTCAAAAAATAAAAAAGAGCCAGAGATGTAGCAGATGTCCTGGGTTCAATACCCAGAAGCCGAAACAAAACAAAGTGTCACAGGCTCTGCAAAGCCCGTGATACCACATTGCCAGCTTGAGGACCTGTGGGGAAGACTGCGGAACCATGATGCCTGCTGGAGGCTGAGGAAGACCAGCTGGGTAGGCGGAGCAGCGGAGAGGACACAGGCTCCGAGGGCAAGGCGGGGAGACGGCAGCCATCCCTGAGAAGGGGCGGGTGCAGGGAGGAAGAGACACGAAAGGACCAGGAGCCCTTAGCGCACAAGGCAGAGGCTGGACCAGGCAGGAAAGCCACAGGGAGGAGCCAGACTGAGCCCTGCAAATGGTGCATCTGTTCATTTACGTTTAAGCACAGCTTGACTGAGCTGGGCGTGATGCCGCAAGCCGGTAATCCTAGCACTCTAGAAGCTGAGGCACGGTTGTCGTGAGTTCAAGGCCAACCTGATCTACAAAGAGCGACCCTATCTCAAAGAAAACAAAAACCAAAAACCCTTTATTAGGGTACAACTAATGTATCATACAAGTCACTCATTTAACCTGTCTGCCAGTTTTTATATTACAGTTATACAGTCACCACAGTCTACTTTAGAGCATTGTCACCACCAGGCGTGGTGGCGCACGCCTGTAATCCCAGCACTCGGGAGGCTGAGGCAGGAGGATCGTTGTGAGTTTGAGGACAGCCTGGGCTACAAAGTGAGCTGAAGGCCAGCCTGAACTGCAGAGCAAGACTCTGTCTCAAAAAGACAAAAAAAAAAAAAGAGCATTGTCACTGCCCCAGAGAAACCCTGTACCCATCAGCAGTCACTTCCCCCATCCGCCCCTGCCAAGCACCAGTCTGCTCTCTGGCTCTTTGGCATTGCCTATTCTGGACTTCTTATATAAATGGAATCATAGGGGCTGGGGATTTAGCTCAGCGGCAAAAGCGCCTGCCTGGCAAGTGCAAGGTCGTGAGTTTGGTTCCCGGTACCGGAGAAAAACCAAAAAAAAATAAATAAATGGAATCATATACTCTGTGGCCTTCTGTGTCTGGCTTCTTTGGCTGAGCATAATATCTTTACAGTTCGTCCATGTGATTCCTCGTGTCAGTGCTTTGTCCCTTTCAGGTAGAATAATACTCCGTGCCACCTTGTGTCTCTGCACCCACTGTTGAGAGCATTTGCACTGTTGTATTCTGGTTTTTATAAATAAGACTGCTCTCTATCCATCCACAAGGCTTTTTTTCTCCCCCCCCCCCCAGTACTGGGAATTAAACCCAGGGCCTTCTTCTCACTGAATTACATCCCCAGCTCTTTATTTTTTATTTTGAGATAGGATCTTGCTAAGTCACTAAGTTGCCCAAGCTGGGCTCAAACTTGTGATCCTCCTGCCTCAGCCTTGGGGTGCTGGGCTTACCGGCATGCACCACCACACCCAGCTTCATGGACAGGTTTCCATGGATATGTTACAAGGGTTTTTAGCCAGCACGGTGGGAAGGGGCAGTGTGGAGACCAGTGCAGCCATCCTGGCGAACAGAGTCACCAGGACCCTTAGGGACGATCTTTGACTGCTATTTGTTGAGCCCGAAGGAGGCCTGGGGGTGGGGTGCAGAGAAAGGCAGGCCGGTTGAGCTTGAGGAGCCTGAGGACAGGTGTTGGGGAGAAGCAAGTGCATCCACCTGGAGCCAGGAGACAGCTCCAAACAAGGAATCAGACTCGGGTGCTCAGCATGTCGGTGGCCACCACGGAAGCCGGAGGTACAGTGAGGCCTCAAACTGACCGCTTCCCGAGGAGGCACGGTCCCCAAAGACCCTGCGGAGGAAAGCAGGAAGGCACAGAGGAGCTGAGCCCAGGCAGAGCAGCAGGAGGCAGACCAGGAACACACGGCACCCAGACCCGGAAACACAGTGCTGTGCCCACACCCAGGCAAAAGCCTCCCCCAGGTCTGCACCTTCCACCCACTGACCTCCTCCCCACGGATCCTGAGAGCGAGAAGGCAGAGCCCGGATTCCTGCCCCTCCGCACGGACTGCCCTGGGCCTTAGGCGTTAGTCCCTGCTGTGTGACTAGGTGCCTTAACCTCTTACCCCTTCCTTTATCTGTTTTAAAAATCAAACCAATAATGTCACCTGGTTGTTCTGAGAATCCTACATGCATCTGAATGTAGGTGTTCTGCGGCTCTGTTGAGGGGGAGGGGTACTACAGATTGAACCCAGGGCCTTTGCACTCAGCTACATCCCCAGCCCTTTTTTATTTTTATTTTTTATTATTTTGAGACAGGG